CCCACTGGGAGGGGGGATTTTCCAGTCCACCCTTCCCTTCGAGGGGCTCGTATCGAGGTCGTAGTAGTCCTCCGTCAGCTCCAACCAGCACTTGTCCTGAAGTTCGGCGAACAATCGCCCGACTGTGGAAATGACGGACACGTCTTCGGGTGCGAAAGAGTCATTCTCGGCCCTCACTTTCTGGAGGACCGCAATTCTAGCGACGTCGAGGAAGTCAGACTTTGACCCGCGAGGGAGCGGCACTCATCCTTCGTCCGGGACAGCGACGACCACGATCCACTCACCCTTTTGAATCGTCGGCTGGATGACTCCTGGATGCCAAATCATGTCATGGCCCCAGTCCGCCTCCGTGGAACGACTTTGAGGCTCATCCAGGAAGTGAATGTTGGCATCCTTCCAAGACAGATGATCGGCCGTGATGTCAGACCCGAGACACAGTGAGCGATGGCCGAAGGCCAGAGCTTGCATTCTCTGCAGCAACTTCATCAGGGTAGTGCCAGGCGCCGCTTTCGCCATCGGTGACACGAGGGATGCCAGGCTTGTTGATGGACCTGCGAAGGACGACCCTGTTGTGTGCTGCCCGGGATGCGGGTTGTACTGCAGGTCGAGGCTTTCGGTGTCGCTGCCCTCCTCGTTCGCGGTCCCGTCGAACTCGATGCCGATGGTCTCCTCGTCTTCCGTGGAGATCAAGGAGGAGTAATTGCCGAACGTCAACTCCTCCTCCGACTCCACGAAGTGCAGGGACTGCAACCTCTCGAGGAAGGTCTTTGCGTTCATGCGGGAGGCGTCGTGGTAGTTGTCGAGCATAGTGAACATAAGATCCTTGCGGCGCACGTACTCGGCGTCAGTGTCTCTCTTAGGCCGCGTTTGCAGGAACAAGAAGTCGTATATCTTGTTCCGCTTCCTCGCACTCAACTTGAACCACATGTCCGTCTTGTTGTTCCACGTGCGAGGGCGAGACTCGTTGACGACCATGAACTCGCAAATGTGGGCACCCGAATTGACCTCGCTCTTCACGAGATCAATTGTAAATTGCAAGAGCGCGGAGTTCCCTTCCATTGCGATCACGTGCCGTCCTGCCTTCACCAGTTCCCACACGGATCGCGCGTGTGGCTTCCCGAGAAAGCATACACCCTCCCCCTTCTTGGTGACGGACTCGAGAAGATTAACGAATTGCGTGGGGTTGCGTTCCATGTCCCCATACACACTGCCCCGACGCGTAGGCGAGACATGCGACCAATCGCAAGGGTTGAACGGGATGTCGGACACATCTGTTTGCGTAACCTTCTGCGGCGACAGGCGACAGTTTCCCCTCGTAGACGACGGACGTGTTAGCGCGCAAATCGTCGCCTTTGAAGAGTATGTACATCCGGCCGTCTTCCGTGTACAAATTATTCCCGACGGGGAAGCTTTTCTTTTGTTGACTCTTCCTCACCCACTTCCCTTCCATCATCTTCACGAAAGAAAGGTGGTTCATGCTGGCCAGAAACGAAAGGTTCTGCTCCCGCGGGACGAAAACGACGAGCGTCCAATGCGATGGACACCACGTCTGAAGCTGGGAATCCAGAGTGTCGAACGCTTGTGGTTTCCACAGCTTCAGGTCCACCGGTTCGCAGAGATCGAGGACGAACGTGTGACTCTTTGTGGCAACCACCGCCTCCTTCACCTCCGCACACCTTATGTCTGCCTCCAAGGGGTCGTTGCCGAATGGCGCGATGGATGTCACGTCGCCCGTGTCTTTCCATTTTATGTGCACAGTTCCTTCGGCAAGCACGATCTTGCGACTCTTCAGTCTACTGCCAGTCAAAACGGACAGGACCTTATTCCTCCAGTCGACGGACAGCTTCTTGTGACCGGCCAACTTCTCCGTCGCCTCGATGGATTGGTCGTCGTTGCAGCCCATGCAAGGCGGGCAGTCCTTGAACAACGAGGAGTCAGCGACGTATTTCCTGCTCCCGTCCCACAACTCTGCATCCAAACCACGACTCTCAAGCTGTTTGAAAATTGCGGACCTTTGTTTTCAGGAACGGGCACCTCTGGCTCCAATCCGCGTCCGGCCTCTTCTCGTGCTTGAACGGGTAGTAGTTCCATAGACGCACCAGCACCCGGTCGCACTTCACCAAATGAACCATGTCCTAGACGCTCAGCTTCCCGAGCTTCGCCAACGCCGCAGAGCCGGCTTGGACCCAAGCCACCTCGCAAGCGAGAACCTTCTTCAGGACGCGGCACTTCTCGTTGTCGGTCAGCGACTCCATCGATTTCCAACAATGTGCGTCTGGCTCAGGCACTTGCACGAACCAGTCGCCCTCCTCGTTCTCCTTTTTGCCTTTCTTTGTCGGCGGGTCCACAGGGACGTTGTACATGACCTCTTTCCTGCCCGTCTTGTCGTTCTCGACCTAGGCAACCCCGGGCTTCACATTTTTGACCTTCTTCTTCTGCATGATCCACTTTGCGCCATCGTGGCCGAGCAATCTACTAGTCTCCCATTTATCGAAAAAGTCGACGGCCAGTTTCCATACGTTCTCCCCTGCCATTGCCAGTGAGAAATAGGAACGCAGGGCAGCGCCTTGCTTCCTGATGGCGTCGTCGCCCTTCTGATCTGCGAGCGTCCACAAGTTGTTGTGCGTCGTCATATTGAGCGCGACTTCACAAAATTCACGCCACTTTCGGACCTGAGCCTGTTTTCCGTTGGGGTTTCCCATAACAGCATGCGGACACCCGTCGCGCTTCCACTGCCACCTAATGTCTTTCATTGACAGCTTCAACTGTCTCGGGGGCGCCTTCAGGTCCTTCTTTTTGTCTTGAGAACTTCATCCACACTCTGGCCCTCGCTTGCCTCCAAGTTGACCTCCGAAGAGGCTGCCACCTTTCCTGTAGGTTCCGCACTCTCCCGTCGAACCGGATCTCCAATGTCGACCCCAAGAATAGACAACACCGACCACCGTCTGTCCCTCAACGGCGCTGCAGGCCCCTCCTCCTCGTTGTCGTCGAACTGTCCCCGGCTCTCGCCGCGGTGCAGCTGAGTAGCCGGACCAGAACCCGGATCACCGCCCTCCGCCGCCGCCCCGCTTGACTCGCAACTGCTGCACGGCCTGAACGGCAACGAGAGCTCCAGGGAGGGGCCGACGTCACAGGGGACGTCGAGAACAATGTTCTTGTCCTCCAGCTTGTCGGAAAACTCACGCGCCAAAACAAAACCACCCACGAGAATGAGTTCTCTGTAGAACGCGGTGTCCACGGCACCCGCTCCGAACCCCCCACACAATTCGAGGTCCAACAACACCCCTTTCGAATTTGCAACAATGTTGCCTTTGGAGCCATAAACCTTTTCCATACGGAAATGTCGCCGGCCCCCCTTCGCGTCCTCCTACCCCAAGACGGCCCCAAGCACTCGACGCCTTCTGCCGTCATCGACGAAGATGATAGGACCACATGGCTGCGCAGTGGGGTTGGAAACGTCTCCACAACACCAGTCGATGAACCATTTCGACTTCGAATGGTTCGACCACCCTTTCGTGGCAGTAGACGACCTCCTCGTGGAATCTTTTCCGGATGTCTTCCCGGAGGTCCCCGTTGCCTCCACCTCGTCCTTTGAACAAGACATCTTGTCTGCGAGTGACAACCCAAATCACACCACGCACCATCCAGTCAAGGTTTTGGAAAACACATCAGGAACAGAATAGTCGTCGGCACACGGCAGCGCACGCTCTTGCGCAGCGAAATCCGCACGCAAAGACACCTCGGAACCTAACTTAGGAACGGCTAGAATGGGTAGTTCGCCGAGATCCGAATTTCAATAGTGTACGAGGCGGAGAGGCAGAGTGTCGGGGATCAAGCGCCGTTTATGCGGCAGACGGCGCATAGGAAGAACGAAGAAATACCAACGAAAAGGGAAAATCGAGAAGTTCGCCGGGATCCGAACTTCACGACTGTTGGTCATTTTCGAAGCTCGCGTTGGACGGTGCAGTGTCCTCGCCCAGCACTCGGAACCCGGACAGACTAGCACGTGAAGTCCGCCCGGGTCCAGACTAAAAGATGGTGCGAAAGAAAGAGAGAAAAAGCCAGGCCATGCAGTCGGCGTTCCAGAACTGTTCTCAAGCGAACACACTCCGCAAATGCATTTGATCAAAACCAGAAGTCAGAGACAGACTCTCCCCGTTGCCGGGCGGGTTGTGCGAACCAGTGGACGGGCATGTCCGAAGACAAACCAACGCACCTCCTGAATCGTGAAGTTCGTCGGGATCCGAACTTCAGGACGATGCGACAGGCAGAGACGGCGTCAGAGACACACGATCCGTGGACTCAAAGAAAAACACGACCTGGGAATGACACACAAACATGAGAGGCCGGTTGAGAAGGATTAGTTCGCCGAAATCCGAACTTCTTCTGATATGCGCAACAACCTTGACAACATTGTGTGGGTCCCTGGCGGGGCAGAACGGAGCGTGTGGAGCAGCGAGGACAGGAACTGTTGTCGCATTCCGCGGGGGATTAGGAAGACCGGTGTGTGTCCAATAGACAGGCGTCACAGGAAGTTCGCCAGGATCCAAACTTAAGGACGCTTCGAGAAAGACACACAGAGGGAAATACCGGATCACGTAAGAGGTTAGACGCAAGACGGGGTCCGAGCAAGGTGTTGGAGGGAGAACTTCAGAATTGTTCCGCCAGCGTCGAACTCTGCGACTAAGATCCCTAAGAGTGCTTTTGGCATTTCGCAACGACAATGATCGACTGTTTGGCACATGTCGATGGTGGACGGGCGGCAACCGAACGCGGACAGGGCACACTGCACTCCGGTTGGCGGCGGTCTCAGATCGCGAACGTGCCCAGACGGAACTGGTCGCAAATCTTTTACGAACGCCGCGCCCAGCCGGACTTAGGTCTGCGGCAAACACTTGTAGCTCGAAAGCCGGTCGGACGCGCCTGCGGCCTCGTGGGCCCCGCTGGTTTGTGCGGCCCGCCCGGCGCCGACAGTACCGAAGCCAAATCAACGCACACCCCAAAACGCGAAGTTCGCTGGGACCCGAACTTCGCCGGGGCGCGACAGTGAAGGAGACGACGACAAAGACAGACCTCTTATTCAGATATGTCGACATTCGGGGTTCCCTTGGGACGACGTAGTGAACTGAAGCTATACAAAGCATTCATTGATGATCCGTATACGTGGATCTGCGGTTCGTCTACCGATGCCCTCTCGGAAAAGACGGACATGTATTTCATCCTAACAAGCACAGCCGGTCGTGCTAAGGAATTCCCTATGCAGTCCTGTATATCGCAAACTTTCTCCTCGACCTCACGATGCATCAAAAAGTTTCGGACCCGCCCTGCTATAACCAAATCACGCCACCCATCTACACGTTCAGGCCCGAGCGTCTCCACGGATTTGGACCCCTCAATCACCACCTCGTTGCGTGATACAAGCACAACTGCATCGACGAGTTTCCTGCTCTTGTTCGAAGCAGCGACACAGAAAACTCTGGCGAAATCAGACCCGGACACAGTCAATCGCACACAACAGTATGACACAACTTGTGGAGAATTCCCGGGGCAGCGGAGTGGGTACTGCTCTAGGAATGAGCAGTGGCGAGCGCAGTCCACCAACTCTTGTTTCCGCGGGCATCCCAAAGTTCGTGGCGATGACCTGACGTAATGGCACTCGAGGCGGCTGAAATGGCGGCTAATGCAGCCCAGTGCTCTGCGCATGTGGTTCAGGAACTTGTGTATGAGGACAGCGTCAGACACCGCGATGAGGTTCCTGAACTCCAACATGTTGGCGAACTTGTACGGGCTTGCCCAAGGACAGCGACTCTCCATCGTGGCCCAATTCTGATCGCACCAGCCGTCAACATGCCCCTCCAGGCACGGGACAACGGTCATCCAGGGGTCCTCGTCGAAGTCCTCTGCGGTCGCTCCGTGGATCGTAGTTACACCGTTAAAATACTGCATGGATTACGCGCAAGGAGGAATCGGTTCTGCCAAGCGAATGTGCATCTCGGGACTCATGGTCTGTGGTGTCGAGAAGATCGGCTCCACAATTCGTGGTGTCGAGAAGGTCGCCTCCATTATGCACCCTACACAACACGGGCACATGCCAAACGACACACACTAGCACGGAGACACTCGTAAACACGTCGTGTTTCGTGATCTGCGACCCTTGGCATCACACGGAACGCACGCTCGAAGATCTGATTTCGGGCGGTCGACCTGGTCGGTGTTCACATCTGTCGGGCGGCCGGCCACCCGCAATCATGTCCCATGAGAGCTGGGCACCTCATGTTCGTCGTGATCACAATTTGGCGAGACTGCGCGGGAGAAACAAAGTTGTCTCTCAAACTCGGCGTCCCAAAAGTTCTTGAAGTTCGCATCCCGGCGGACTTCACATTTTTAAGAATCCGAAGTTGTGGCTATCCATTGGCCGCCAGAAAACCCCACAGTCAGAACCCACACCACCCGAAAATTGAAGTACGCCTGGGTCCGAACTTGACGACCACACGAGGAACCTTGCACGAGAAGTTTGGATCCCAGCGAACTTCGCATTCTCTCGAATACGAAGTTTGCCGGGATTCGAAATTGACGACTGTCCGAGGAACCGTGCACGACAGTTTTAGATGCACGGCCCAGCAGGCCGGCCGCAAACACGAATTGCGAAAGGAGGACTTGGCGAAATCGCGCGAGAGAGACACAACTGGCGAACTCGACGATGGGACGAGGAACCGTGCGCGAGAAGTTCGGATCCCGACGGACTTCGCATTTCTGCGAAACAAAAGTTGTGGCAAACCACCGGGCGCGAGAAAGCCCACAGACAGAACCCACACCATGCGGGAAGCGAAGTTCACCGGCGTCTGAACTTGACGAGTGTACGAGGAACCGTTCACGAGAAATTCGGATCCTGATGGACTTTGCGTTTTCACGAATCCAAAGTCCGTTGGGATCCGAACTTGGCAAACGTGTGAGGAACTGGGCACGCGAGGTTCGGATCCACAGGAGGGCAAGCAAGCCGCAAAAATGTCTGGCGAAAGGCGGGAACCTGTTGTTCGCCGGGATCCGAACTTGGCGAAACCGTGCGGAAAAGAAACAACTGGCGAACTCGGTGACTTAACAAGGAGCCGTGCGCGAGAAGTTCGGATCCCGGCGGACTTCACATTTTTTGAATCCGTAGTTGTGCCAATCCCTCGGGCACTGGAAAGTCCGCAATCGGAACCCACACAATGCGGAAAGCGAAGTTCGCCAGGATCCGAACTTGACGTCCGTGCGAGAAACCGTAAAGGACAAGTCCGGATCCCGACGGACTTCGCATTTTCACGAATCCGAAGTTCACCGAGGTCTAGAGTTGACGATTGTGCAAGCGACGTTCGGATCCACAGGCCAGCGGGCGAGCCACAAACATGTCTTGCGAAAGGCGGGGACCTGAAGTTTGTCGGGGTCCAAACTTCGCGAAACTGCGTGGGAGAGACACAGCTGTTTGCCAAACTCGCCATCCAACAATTTCTTGAAGTTCGGATCCCGACGGACTTCAAATTTTCACACGTCCGCAGCTGTGGTTGCGGTTCGGGGTTGCGAAGCGTGTTCGAACAGCTGCTCAAGCTCGCCAGAATCCGGACTTCTTCCGGTGTTTGATTGCGCGATCAGTTCGCTTGGCACTGCCAAGTTTGTGCTGGCGGATTATGACGGTCACGTTCCGATGACGAGGACTGTACCGACGATGTGTGGGGTGGTGGCTGCTCCACGTTCGCCGTTCAGTGACCGTCAAGTGTCGATGACCCGACGTCCTCCAAAGTTCGACGTCCGACGAGGTTCGACGCCAGCCGAGGTTTGATGTGGAGCCGGGTTCGATGTTATACGACGTTCGATGTGCAACAAGATTGTGACGAACTGTTTTTCTTTCGTTCACAGATCGGGATCGACTTTCGATGTGCAACAACTTGTGACAAGGTTGTGTGATTTGTTCGTGGGTTTCGATCGTGCACATGATTATTTGCCTTGAGGATTCTCCGCGATCAATGTGCACAGAACAGTCGATTGGTCATGAAATCTACCAGTATCAGCTGATTGATCGACTGCTCGGTTGGCGGTTGGTGTGGTGGTTGATCAATCGCCAATCAATGGATCCAGGCAGAATCCCTGACCAATCGACTGTTCAGTCCATGACTATCAGGTGGTTAGATAAACATGTCGCTCGCCGACGGGTTGCATCTCGCACACGCAGACGCACAGAAACACGCGCACGCACATCACCTTGCGAAACACAAAACAGGTTATGGTGCTCATACAATACACACACGCACACGCCAACACACACGCACGCATGCACATCGCCGCGTGTGTTTTGGTTTTGCCATTGAGACGATCGAAACACACAATGAGCGACGTCTTCGGTGCAGCACACACGAGCAATCGTCCGATCGCAAGTAATATATTGCCTGGTTGGTTGGATGCGGTTGTGATCCAGAAGTTGTCGCCTCATGCATTGATTAATCATCCGTTCGGCAGATTAGGGGCGATGTTGCTGGGGCAGCTAACAGCATCTATCACCCGATCGCGAGTGGTCGGCTTGTGTTTGGTGATGGGTCGGTTCATCACGTGTGTGGTGTGCATATTGTCATGGATCAGATCGATCATCCGATCACGAGTGATCTGAACACAGACGACCGAACGAACAACACACACGCGGTGATAACGTCGACACGGCGGACACGATCAATCATCTGATCACGAGTAATCTCATCGTGTTTAGCGATTGGTCGATGGATGCGTTCGCTGTATCGACACTGCCACCGCGTGTTCCGATTGATCATCCATTGGGCAGATCGGTGGACGTGACATTGGGATCAATCAGGATCGGTCGAGTGTGGCAAGATGAGGTTGAACACAGCACGAGCACAATCGTTTTTTATACTTTCCTCGAACATCCACACACAAGCGCCATTCGGGAAATCGAAGTGGAAATCATGTCTTTCATCCCTGACCTCGCACGTTAGTGCGTATCTCCCGACGCTCAATGGGCACGAACACACACACACGCGAACAAATATGCATAGACAGGCACACACACACACACACACACACACACACACATACACACACGCCGCCACACGACGCCCACACACATACGCCCCTCAGGCACAAACACGCGCACGATCCTGCCTCGCGCGTGTGGCACACACTTCATACGAACACATACACAATGGAACACGCACTTGAACACACACGAAAACAATAAAGCACGCGCAAGCACACACTCGCACACAAACACACACACACACACACGCCCACCGGCACACATGCAGACATGACCTCTTTCGATTTGCGCGAGCATATCATCACAAAACCTGCCAACACGAGCGCACATGCAAACATAGGTCCTGGCTGCGTGCGCACTCACCGTGTGAAACTGTCGAGTTGAGATGAGCGCGAACCCCGACGTTAAACGTGACGGCACGCTGTCGACCTTTGGGCGTGTGCTTTGCGTTAGGGAGGGTGCTGCGTCCGGGGATGGTCGCGCCTTTCGAGTAAGGAGAGCGGTAGCAACGTTGAATATGACGTGGACAGCGACTTGGTAGGCGGAGGGACATGCGAGGGCATGCGGGGTGCGTCGGTGCCAGGAAACGAGCGCGTTGAAGAATGGATATGCCAGCTATGGCGCTCCAGCAGTGCAGGGTACTGCTGTTGACGACAGCGGCGGTGCGAGGTTTCCGTCAGGCAGCATCTCCCCATCAAAAAACGCAAAACGCATCGTCAATGCTCAGGGCGCCTCTCGTGTTTGTAGGCGCGCGGGACACGAGGCCCCCTCGGGCCTTCCATTTCGGATTTCCGTGCAGGGTCCGCACGCTGCCGCGCGACTGCTTGATCCGCGCATCGAACGGTGGCTGCACGTCAAAATTGTCGCGAGGGGGGCCTGGTGCGTGCATTGTGACAAAAAAAATCCTTGCGGCTTGGCCCTTCCAGGACGTCCTCGGAAAAAGGACCCCTCGCGTTCGTGTCATCGGGTTCACGGGCCCCGGTCGAGGGGGGTCTGAGGCGTCGTGGGGGGGCAGCTGTCTCTTATACACATCTAGATGTGTATAAGAGACAGCAACAGGCGGGTCTTTCCATGGGGTGCGACGAAAGTCAGAGGCTCAGTTGCCTGGGGTCTGGTGCAGTCGCATCTCCAGCCTGACGAGCGCACTCGCGAGCACCGTCCTGTCAGCGACATCCTTTATCGCCTTCGCTTCTCTGCTGTTGCGCCACGCGGCTGCGGGCGAGGGTGTATGGGTTACCTCTCGACGCCAACTGTTTCCTGTCCTTCTGACCGGTGATGGACTCCAGTTGTCTGCGCTTCGAAATCTCGTCTCTGCCACCTGCGTCAGCGAGTGGCCACCGTCGTATGCGTTGAGCCCTTGTCGAACGGTTGCGCCGTCGTCTGCGCTTTGCCGTCGTCTAAGAACTGAGCCTCGTCGAAGAACTGTGACCTTTCAAAGAGCTGCGTCGTCGTGGGCGCTGTCCCCTCGCCGAGGTAAAGTGATGTTCTGCCTGCCCACGTGTCGACCGTCGGGCATGTTTGCAGGCGCATGGGAGCAGCCGCGTCGCGCCACCTGTTTGAAGTTGCGGGGACGGTGGGAACGGATGTCGCTGACATTGGGCCACATGGTTTCTGTATGCCCCTTTGATTACCACTTGTTCTTTCCTCGCGAGAGGCCCCATGATTCTTGCTTGCCATCATCATCATCATCATCGCCATCGTCATCACCATCATCATCACCACCAACATCATCGTCATCATCATCATCATCGCCATCATCATCACCACCATCATCATCGTCATCATGATCATCATGATCATGATCATCATCATCATCAACATCATCATCATTATCATCATCATCATCCTCATCATCATCATCATCCTCATCATCATCATCATCATTATCATCATCATCATCAACAACATCATCATCAACATCGTCAACGTCATCAACATCACCAACATCATCAGCGGCATCGTCGCCGTCATAAAAATCACCACCATCGTCGCCTTCGTCATCGTCGCCATCATCAACAGCATAATCATCATCGTTATCATCGTCGTCATCATCGTCGTCATCATCATCATCATCATCATCATCATCATCATCATCATCGTCGTCGTCATCATCTTCGTCATCATCATCATCATCATCATCGGCATCATCGTCGTCATCGTCGTGTTGATGACGACGATGACGACGATGATGTTGATGATGATGATGATGATGACGCAGATGCTGACGACGACGATGATGATGATGATGATCATGCTGATGATGATGACGAAGATGATGACGACGATGATAACGATGATAGTGATGTTGTTGATGATGACGACGATGACGAAGGCGACGATGGTGGTGCTTTTTATGATGCCGACGATGCCGCTGATGATGTTGATGATGTTCGTCATCATCATCAGCACCATTGTCGTCCAGATCAACATCACCACCGTCATCATCACCAACATCGTCATCATGATGAACATCGTCAACAGCATCAACATCAACATCAATGTCGTCATCACCATCATCATCATTATCATCATTTTGTGCCGCGTGTCGCAAGCGGCGGGGACGGCGGGAACGGATGACGAAGACATCGGGCCACATGGTTTCCGTATCCCAATCTGCTTCTCTGTCACTCATTCCACGTGTCCCAAGCCCAACATTGCAAAACACTCCCGCATGGTTACCCTAGTGAACATTGCAATACACTGCCGCGTGGTTGTGGCAAACATGAAATCGCCTATTCCCAGCAGAACACGAAACCCCCTCGAAACACTTCCCTCGCATGTTTGCTGTTCTCATGAAACAGATTACACGTTGGTTATCACAACTGCGCCAGCAAGGACGGGCAATGGTCGCGGCGGTGTTGGTGAGCGACAAGCGGGTGCGACATGGGTTGCGCGCGACCAGTGTTGGTATTAAGCGTCGCGTGGGCGGCCATTGTGCTAAGGATGTCCGCCGTCCACGTGGCGTGCAGTGAGAGGGATGGTATTCGTAAAGAGGAGGGGGTAATCGTTCCGTGTCCGTGTTCTTGCCACAACACTTGAGCCTCCCTCCCCGAAGAGACTATGGAGTCAGTCTCGGGAGAGCTTCTGTCGTCTCCATCCCTCGCACACAACGTGCACATGATCCACCATGGAGGCCGTAGATGTTGTGCGCGCGCTCCTGGCGCTGGTCATGAGGGACGCGACAACGCATTCCACACGACGAATGCCAGGACTGTGCGCGCAACATCCGCGGGCTCCAGAACGAATAATGCACACGTCGGGTGCGCGCAATGGAGAACGCCAAAGCCGCTCGCTACAATGACGATAGCGTTTCTTCGGCGTTAGTGCCGCATGTTTCGTGACGACAACCTCAACACGAAAACATGGCCTCGTTCAATAACAAACAACCCGGGCGCCTCCGGGAAACGACTTTGTCAACGGGGCAAGGGGGGTCGCCATTGTGACTGCAAGCGCGAAACCAACAACAACCAAACAGAAAACGGCGCGTGGCGTGTTGTTGCCTGGCAAATTGGGTAGTTCGGATCCCGGCGAACTACAGCAATCATGCGCACTGCTCTCGCGAAAGCGGCAATCAGTTGCCGTCGCGCGGTCGCAGGGAGAGCACGCGCAGGTATGAAAACAGCGCATGCTTGCTGTAGTTCGCCGACATCCGAAGTTCCCCTTTTAGCAAGCTTTCACATGCGACTCTCAGCGTGCGACGAAGTTTGGATTCGAGCGCAGGGAGAGCGCGCGCAGGTATGAAAACGCCCTGCCAGTTGTCAGCGTGCGACGGAGTTCGGATCCGAGCGGACTTGCGATCTCAAGCATGCGAAGTCACGAGCTGCTCAAAGTCCTGGTTACATGACTGTTCTTTGGGAGGCGGTGCCGCAAATTTCAATGGGACCCCAAGAAAAACAAAGTGTTTCATGCTCCCGGTCGAACGAGGCAGCGGATCTCAAGTTCCGATCCGGGCGGACTTCGTGGTTTGGGGTCTCGTTGCGCCCGATTTTGTTGTGGTGCATCCACCACTACGCTTTCATCTGCGCGTGCTGTCGTACAACGACAACTTGAGAGCGACACAGCCTTCCTTCTGTGTGGCCAATCATAGTGTTCCTTGCGTGCACCCGCTGGCGCGCCGTTCCACAGGTTCTTTGCTACTCTGCACCGGCCAAAATTTGGATCCCGACGGACTTCGAGGGTCCGCGTGAATCTTATCGTTGTTTTCAACGGCTTGGACTTCTCCGTCCGTCTTCAATACCGACAGCCTCGTAGAACGTGAAACTCGCCTCGTGAGTTGGCCTGAAAGGGGTTTATTGGGGTGGACGACGGTGCCACTGGCCGGGTCCATTTCCGGTGTGCCGTGGATCTTCGTTGATCGACGCCCCGAAATGCGTTGCGCCCGAGCATCACCTGCTTCTATGCAAACGTCATCCACCCGTTCCAAATGCAGGCGAATCCATCAAGTTCGGATCCTGGCGGACTTTGGGGGACGGCGCAATCCTAACCGTCCTTCGCATGACGCCTCGAGCTTCGAGTGTGAGTTGATTGCAAGAGGACTATGGGTGCGAGAAATCGATCGCCCTCTGAAATGCCCTTCAACGGGTTCATGGGAGTTGTCGAAAATAAGGGACACGGTCGTTGTCACCGTCGGCAACCCCCACAAACCCCTTCAAGGGCATTTATGAAGGCAAGCAATTTTCCGCATCCACGATCTGTGTTGCCCCCCAATGTTTTTGACCATCGCGGTGTGCAGAGTTTTGTCGCAGACATGCTTGTGTTTCTGCGTGCTGTCCGGTTCGCGTTGCCGCACGTCGTCGTTCCCTGCGCGTGAATCGGGGGTCGCCTTCTCGACTGCCCGAATCAATGTTTGGAACGGTCGAAGGGGGGATCTTTCATCCTTTTGTACATTTTTCTTGTCTGCGCTGTGGAGATGTCGGAGTTCGATAAGCTCGTGCACTAGTGTTTGTGAATGGAACACCACACGAGCTCGCTTGGACGATGGTGAAAATCGGTGTTTATAGGGGTCATTTTGGGGTCGCGCTGCGCCCTATTGTGTGCTAGTGCATTCACCACTACCCTTTCTTATGCGCGTGCTATCGTTCACCAACAAGCTGCATTCAGTGCACCCAATGATGCTACCTTCCACTCAAACAGGCCGTGCGAAAACAGGTTCCTTGCTATTCCAGCACCCGCCAAATTCAGATCCCGGCGGACTTTGAGGCTCCGCGAAAATCTGACCGTTGTTTTCAACAGCTTGGACTTCCCTTTCTGTCTTCGATGCCGGCGGCCTGGTAGTGCGCAAAAGTGCTCGCCTTGTGAGTTACCCTGAAAGGGGTTTATTGGGGTTGACGACGCTGTCACTGGCCGGGTCCATTTCCGGCGTGCCGTGGATCTTCGTTCATCGCCGCCTCCAAATGCGGTGCGGCCGAGCATCGCCTACTTCTGTGCGAAAGCCATCCACCCATTCCAATACCTGCAGCCGCGCGAAAACCTGTTACTTGATGCAGGCAAATCCACCAAGTTCGGATCCCGGCGGACTTTGAGGATCGACGCAAATCTATCCGTCATTCTCGTGACGCCTAAAGCTTCGAGTGTGAGTTGATTGCGATAGGACTGCGGGTGCGAGAAATTGATCGCCCTCTGAATAGCCCTTGAAGGGGTTCATGGGGGTTGCCGAAGATAAGGGACACGACCGTTGTCGCAGTCGACAACCCCCATAAACCCCTTCAAGGGCATTTCAGAAGGCGAGCAATTTTTCGCGCCCTCGATCTTTGTTGCCCCCCAAGGGTTTTGGCCGTTGTGGTGCGAGGCGTATTGTCACATGCTTGTGTTTCTGCGTGCTGCGAGGTTCGCGCTGTCTCCCGTCGACGTTACAGGCGCGAGAGTCGGGGTCGCCTTTTCGACTGGCCGAATCAATGTCTGGAAGGGTTGTAGGGGGGATCTTTCATCCATTTCTGCATTTTACTTGTCTGTGCACTGGAGATGTCCGAGTTCGATAAGCTCTTGCACAGTGAATGGAACACCGCACGCGCTCGCGTAAACGATGGTGAGAATCGATGTTTATAGGTGTCAGTTTGGGGTCGCGCTGCGCCGAATTGTGTGGTGGTGCATCCACCGCTACCCTTTGTTCTGCGCGTGCTTTCGTTCAACGACAACACAGCCTTTCTTCTGTGCGCCCAAACATGGTGTTCCTTGTGTGCACCCACTGGCGCTCCCTTCCACTAACACCGGTCGTGCGAAAACAGGTTCCTTGCTACTCCACCACCCGCCAAATTCGGATCCCGGCGAACTTTGAGGCTCCGTGTGAATCTGTCAGTTGTTTTCAACAGCTTGAACTTCCCTGTCCGTCTTCGGTGCCGACGTCCTGGTAGTGCGCGACATAGCTCGCCTTGTGAATTGCCCTAAAAGAGGTTTATTGGGGTTGACGACGGTGTCAGCGGCGGGGTCCATTTGCGGTATCACGTCGATCTTCGTTGCCCTCCAATAAAAGCAATCGTCGCGATGAGTGTGGTTTGGTCGCTGTCATGCTTCTGCCACGGCGTGCTTTGCGGTTCGCGCAGTAGGGTGTTGACATTGCGAAGGCGCTGCGGTGTCGAAGCCGCGCGGGCTGCAAAGGCTTTGAGTCCCAGCACACAACTTCCAAATCGACGTGCAGTTACTCGGGGTTTGCGGGGGTCGGCTGAAGGTCATTAAGCCATGTTTTCTTTTGTCTCCTGCCTCTCCTAGCCTTCCGTTCGTTATGACCATTGGCCGACAGTTCGTTATGACGATTGGCCGACAGTATGTTCACTGCGACCCGTTGATAACCAGTTGGCCGTCGATTCGAAATCTGCGAAGTTCGGATACCGGCGGACTTCTGTGGTCCTCAACAGTTCGGTCGTCCCTTGCGCACGTCTTACTCCTCATAGGACACGTCCTGCTGGGCGAAACAGACAAACAAAAATGTGTCGATAAATTAACAACAAAGATTCACGCCTGGCCCGTGGAGTGTCCGGCCCATAACCAAATCCAGCCGACCACTTGCAGGCAGCGCGGGGTAGACATCTATTAATGTGGGCCGCGTTACAGGCTTCCTCATAAAGACTCACCATGCATGAGTTCGCAAACTATCGAAGCGATGGCATGTTATATGATGTCCATATTGTCGTGGCCCTCGGCGTTATCGAGCGTCTCATTCGACACTCAAGTGTCGGCTGACACGCGCCTTGAGGGACTTGCCTCTCGACGCTAAGCAACCGCCAAGACGGTTGCAGTACCTACCCTCTTCAGCTACCTGCAGGAGCGACAGGTGGGCGGGCCAAGGCCCTTTGTAGCAGCAAAGTTCCATCTGCGGAGGCCTTTAAAAAGGTCAAAGGGTTTGACTTTGGCAGGTGCTACGGACTTCAACGTCCAACTATAAAACTATAAAAAGCAAAAAAGGGAGGGGTGTCTCCGTTTTCTACTGGGGCAATTCTGAGCGCCGGCGTCGATGCAAGAAAAATTCCGCTTCCCTTCGGCACATGCATTCTAGGCATTCAAAGGACTTCGATCTCTGCCGAGTTCGGATGTGAGCGCACTTCGCATGTCGCGGTTTGTGAAATCGTCCGTGCCACCCAACTGTCAGACCATGCCTTCCATGTGCGGCAATTTGGCTGCAGTGGTTGTGATCGCCGTCAGACGAGCTCGCCCAGTTCTGCTGCTGCGCGAGG